CAGGACGTCCACGCCCTGTCCCCCCCGGAGCTGCAGGACGTCCACGCCCTGTCCCCCCCCAGGGAGCTGCAGGACGTCCACGCCCTGTCCCCCCCGGAGCTGCAGGACGTCCACGCCCTGTCCCCCCCCAGGGAGCTGCAGGACGTCCACGCCCTGTCCCCCCCCAGGGAGCTGCAGGACGTCCACGCCCTGTCCCCCCCCCAGGGAGCTGCAGGACGTCCACGCCCTGTCCCCCCCCCAGGGAGCTGCAGGACGTCCACGCCCTGTCCCCCCTCCAGGGAGCTGCAAGTGGTCTGCACCCTGTCCCCGCCCCCCCAGGGAGCTGCAGGTGGTCCACACCCTGTCCCCCCCCAGGGAGCTGCAGGACGTCCACGCCCTGTCCCACCCCCAAGGAGGTGCAGGTGGTCCACACCCTGTCCCCCCCCCCAGGGAGCTGCAGGACGTCCACGCCCTGTCCCCCCCCCAGGGAGCTGCAGGACGTCCACGCCCTGTCCCACCCCCAAGGAGCTGCAGGTGGTCCACACCCTGTCCCCCCCCCCAGGGAGCTGCAGGACGTCCACGCCCTGTCCCACCCCCAAGGAGGTGCAGGTGGTCCACACCCTGTCCCCCCCCAGGGAGCTGCAGGACGTCCACGCCCTGTCCCCCCTCCAGGGAGCTGCAAGTGGTCTGCACCCTGTCCCCGCCCCCCCAGGGAGCTGCAGGTGGTCCACGCCCTGTCCCCTCCCCCTGGAAGCAGCAGGAGATCCACTTGGTGGCCTCAGCTTAGCGAGCAGTTTCCCTCACCCTGTGAAGGTCACTGTGCCGAGTGACTGAGGCTTTCCCCTCAACCGGTGGCGATCTGGCTGGAGGGAGGCTGGAGGGAGGCCTTCTCCCAGGGACGTGACCCCCAAGGCCCCGAGAACCGCGATGTTTCAGGGAGAGGACCCTGAGACCCCCGGCCCCGCCCCACGCAGCAGCTCCATGGCGCGCCAGCCCCCAGCACAGGGGGCCCAGGAGGACTGCTGGGTGTCAGGCCTTGTTGCCAGCCGAGGAGGGACGAGCCCTGGGTGTCGTGAGCCAGAGGGCGGGACCAGCGGTGGCGGACAGAGGGGCCCGCCAGCCGCCACAACAGCCTGCCTCACAGGGCCCTCTCATCAGCGTCCCCCCACGCCGTCCCCTCTGGATAGAAGAAGGATGGGGAAGCCCCCAGGGGTGGGAGGGTTGGGGCGAGATTCCCAGCGGCCCCATCCTTGGACACCACGCGGTCCCACCCTGGCCACGTGTCACCTGTGAAGCAGGCTGCAGGGGAGCGGACAGCCATGGGCAGAGTCCATGTGCTCCCCGACCGCCCCTGGACCCTCCAGCCTCCAGCCTGGCTCAGTTTCTGCTTCGGGTGAGAGTTTGAGCACCGATCTCACCCATTGGGGCCCTCCCTCCATCGGCCAGCAGCTTCTGGGGAGTAGGGGGCAGTGGGTCTTCAGCATGGCCTGGGGTCCCCTGCCACCCACCCCATGGCTGGTGCCCCCCAGGACTGTTGAGGACACCCAAGTCTCTGGGCATGAGCCGTCTCTACCGCAACCCGTTCTGTGCGCCGGTCAGAGATGGGCTGGGAGGGCCTCGCGAGCGCTGGGCCCCTTCTTGGAGAACATGTGATAAAAGCAAGGTGGGAGGCTTATCTGCCAGCCAGTTCTGCCTCCTTACAGGCACGTGAAACTCAGGGGTGTGTGAGGCAGACCCTGCAGACTTGAGCCACGACCTAAAGAGACAGCGGCAGGGAAGGTGTCCCGAGTGGCCGCTGTGGCTCGGTTACCCCCGCACAAGGGGACCCGGATGGTGCCCCCCGCCCCCTGCAGCGACCCGCCCACCAGAACTCGGTTCGGATCAACCCGCGGGCTCGGTCCCATCTCAGCCTCAGCACCATGACAGGGAAGGCTGCTTCAGTCATCCACGTGCTCAGATCATAATGGACAAAAGCCATCTTTTGGTTCCTGATGAAAGGGGCAAGTGGGATGCTGGGCTTTCCAGGTAAACACTCATCTCACTGGTTGAAAAATGAGTTCCCCTCATGGGACAAGTCAACACAGGTGCCTCTAATTAAGGAGCAGGTGAGCCTGTTTCCTGCCCTTCACAATCACCCTTTTCATGCTCCTGGGGTCCGTCCAGCCCTGCTGAGCCCCCGCGGAAGCTCCCCAGGCTCCTCAGGTATCACATTTCCTTATCAATAACGGCCTCTGTGCCCCGTTTGTCTGGCTGCAGACACCTGTGGAGCAATAAAAGGCGGTTGCAATCGCTGCCAGGACAGGGCTCCCGGGAGCTCGGCCGTCGGGGATGGACCGTTGCTCAGATCAACAGTGTCGGATCCGTAGGAGCAAACACCCACATCAAAGTGGCTGGATCCTCCAGGAAACCACAGAGGGGTCATAAAAGTGACGGGGGGTGAATAGGGCTTTGTTACCTGCTCAGGTGCACGGGGCAGCCCTGAGAACCAGACCTGAGCCCGCCGGCGGTCCGGTGGGAGGGGGACACCCGAAACCACCCTCCGGTCCAGCCTCCCGCCCACGGGGCAGCCCCGGGCTCAGACTGTTGCCTGGCTCCTTCCCCCTGGGGTCCAGGCCACACTGTGCACTGCCAAAGCCTGGCACGGTCCACCCTGCAGAGGGCCCCAGCCTGAAGCCTGCTCCCGATGCTTGGATGCGTGTGTACCTGTGTGTGTGCGTGTGCGTGTGTGTTCACGTGTCCACGCACCAGGTCTCAGGGCACCAGGTGCGGCTGCCCCCTTAGCCCTTGGTCTCCACCCCCTCCCTCCCTCAGCTCTGCCCCAGGCGCCCCGTGACCTCCGCACCCCAGCCGCCCCCCTCCCACTTGTGACGACCCCAGTCACTCCTCCCAGCACCTCCAAACCAACGGAGCCCGGACATGGAGACCAGCCCTGCGGCCGGGCGGCCCCACCGGCTGCGCTCCTCGGAGGGCGGAGGAAGGCGGACGCGCCCCCTCGGAGGGCAGAGGAAGGCGGACCCCAGCCCTGCAGACCGACAGCTTCCCGGGGTCCTCGCTGGGTGGACGCGGGCAGGACGAGCCCTGGGCAGCAGCGCCCTCTGGTGGCCGCTCCTCTCCGGACTCCGGGCCCCAAACCGAGTCTGAGCAGAGCGCAGCCCCCGGGAAGGACACACAGCCTGCCCTCGGAATGGGGTGAACTGTGTGCCCAGAAAGCCGGGTCCCAGCCCTACCCCGGGACCGTGGGTGGGACCTTACTTGGAAATCGAGCCTCAGGAAACCCACCCCCTCTCTGTTGGGAGTTCCCCACCAGAGTCAGGAAGTTTGAAGTCGGCTTTGGGTGAAGTGGGTGAATCCACAACCGAGAAGGCGCAGGAGGGAGGGACGGGGGGTGGGGGCGCCCGGGGTGCGGGGGGGCGGGCGGGGGGTCTCCAGGTGGAGAAGGGGACAGGGCGGGCCCAGTGACAATGCGGGGCTCAGGGGTGGCCTCAAGCTGCAGGCTCAGCTCTGCACCCCCTCCCAAGGACCCCCCTTCCCCAGGACCCCCTCCCAAGGACCCCCTTCCCCAGGACCCCCTTCCCCAGGACCCCCCTTCCCAAGGACCCCCCTTCCCCAGGACCCCCCTTCCCAAGGACCCCCCTTCCCCAGGACCCCCTTCCCAAGGACTCCCCTTCCCCAGGACCCCCCTTCCCAAGGACCCCCCTTCCCCAGGACCCCCCTTCCCAAGGACCCCCCTTCCCAAGGACCCCCTCCCAAGGACCCCCCTTCCCCAGGACTCCCCTTCCCAAGGACCCCCCTTCCCCAGGACCCCCTTCCCAAGGACCCCCCTTCCCCAGGACCCCCCTTCCCAAGGGCCCCCCTTCCCCAGGACTCCCCTTCCCAAGGACCCCCTTCCCCAGGACCCCCTTCCCAAGGACCCCCCTTCCCCAGGACCCCCTTCCCAAGGACTCCCCTTCCCCAGGACCCCCCTTCCCCAGGACCCCCCTTCCCAAGGACCCCCCTTCCCCAGGACCCCCTCCCAAGGACCCCCCTTCCCCAGGACTCCCCTTCCCAAGGATCCCCCTTCCCAAGGACTCCCCAAGGACCCCCCTTCCCCAGGACTCCCCAGGACCCCCCTTCCCCAGGACTCCCCTTCCCAAGGATCCCCCTTCCCAAGGACTCCCCAAGGACCCCCCCTTCCCAAGGACCCCCCTTCCCAAGGAACCCCCCCCAAAGACCTCCCCCAAAGACCCCTACCCCGGGGAGGAGGAGGTGGGGAGGCACTGGGACCCCCCCTGCCAGTGGGCACAGGCCCACCCTTCACAGGGAAGCTGAAAATGTCTGGTTTTCTACCTTTTGTGGGTTTCAGCGTCTTAAAGGGTGGATGCTGGAGGTAGAAGACAGGTCGTCCTTTTGAAGAAGGAATGCTTTTGAGCCAAACCTGCCCTCTATCCCAGGCTGGGAGGACAGTGGGGCAATGAGAAATCAATCTTTAAGATTAATGACACCTAACACCGCATTTAAAGAATCAAACAAATGCAAACCCTGTGGTGTGCGTGATCATGAAGGTTTAAGTAAAGACATGATCAGGATTGCTGGCTTTTCTCTTCATCTCCAGCCAGCAAGCCGCACCCGGCACCAGGCCTGTGGATTTAGAGACAGAGGTATGACAGTTTTCGTTGGCAATAGGAAACGACAGCCTAAGTAGACTTGGAAGTATGGCTTCCTGGCATCTGTGAGTCAGTGATATCCCGGCTGCCACCCCCCAACTCCGACCGAGGCTCGCAAGTGTCACCAGCAACTTCGGAGCTGGGTCACGTCCGCCTGCCCCGGCCGCTGCGGGTCCGGGGGGGCACGTTTAGCCGAGGTTCCAGCTGAGTCACATCACGTCGGCACTTCCGTTCAGGGGTCGCAGGGAGGTCTGTCCTGGCCTCCTTGGTGGGCTGCCGTGAAGCTCTCGGCCAAAGCTGAGCCCAGGGAAGGGCTGAAGTGAGGAAACCCTGGCCTTGTGCCTGTCTCAGGACCCCCGTGACGGTTCCTGTGCCCAGGTGCCCATCCTCCGGCCCCTCACAATGGAGCCTGCAGCGCCCTGGCCGTTGGAGAAGCACCTTCCACTGTGGCCCCTGGGAGCCTGCGAGGCAAGTCACAGAGACCTTGGGGATAAGACGGGCTTAACACACAACAGTTATGTTCATCGTAAGGGAGGCGATTTTCCCATCAAGCCCCATCAACACGGAACGCACCCCATCGTCTTGGCAGTCAGGCTTTTCCTGAAGCAGGACCACTGCTGGAGGTCAGCCTCAGACTGGCCAGGTGATGCTCCCTGGGGACTTGGGCTGACCCCATTGGAGTGGGTCCCCTGCAGACCACAGACCCGACCTTCAGTTATCATCACTGTGCAGTGGGCATCTTTCAAATATCCACTGCCTCATCTGTTAGCTTTAGAAGACAGCACAGCGATGCAGGTGGCCGACCGAGGGAGGGGGGACGCTGGGACGTGGCCGGTCCACCTGCCTGGACACGCTGGGCTCCGGATCCCTTCCCTCCTGCTCTGGCGACAGGCACCACGCGGGTCCCAGCGTCACTCCCGCCCCTTGGCACCAGATCCAGGGGTTGGGCAGTCTGTGCTTTCTGCCAGAGTCGCCACTGCAAGCCCGCTTTGCAAAATAAGAGCTCAGCTGCCAGGTGTTTCCCCAGATCACAAGTCCTTGCATCCCAGGAGCCACAGTCTGTGAACCCGAAGGGCTGAGAAGACCCCAGCCTGTTCCCACGGCTGCCTGGGCACCCCGTGCCCCTTGGGCCCTGCGTGTGTGGGCTTCTCATCCAGATCTCGGGCTCCTGCTCCGCTGATGGAAGGGGGCCGGCGGGGCCGGCTCCAGACAGCCCCATAACCTCCCTTCTGCACCCCAGACCCCTGCTGACGGAGGTCTGTCCTCTGCGTCCAGCGCCACGGCCGGTGCGGGCTGCGTCTGCCCCCGGGTGGTGCCTGGTGGCACTGCACAGCCTCCTCCCTCCACCCTCAGCCCCAGGGCTGACGGAGGTTTCCAGATCCCGCCCCCCCCAGGGCACCTTGTGAGGATTCCCAGGGAGGCGACCACAGCGCCTCTTATACCAGTTCAGAGCCCGGCAGCACAAAACCTCTGGGTCTACTTAACTGAAATAATTTAAAAAACGAAAACGTTTTCCATATTATCAACTTAATGCCAAGTAGCTGGCTTAAAACTCAACGTTCAAAAAACTAAGATCATGGCATCCGGTCCCATCACTTCATGGCAAATAGATGGTGAAACAATGGAAACAGTGACAGACTTGATTTTTTTGGGCTCCAAAATCACTGCAGATGGTGACTGCAGCCATTAGATTAAAAGATACCTGCTCCTTGAAAGAAAAGCTATGACAAACCTAGACAGTGTATTAAAAAGCAGAGACATCACTTTGCCAACAAAGGTCCGTCTAGTCAAAGCTGTGGTTTTTCTAGTAGTCCTGTATGGATGTGAGAGCTGAACAATAAAAAAAGGTTGAGCACCAAAGAACTGATGACTTCAAACTGTGGTGTTGGAGAAGACTCTTGAGAGTCCTTCAGACAGCAAGGAGATCTAACTAGTCCATCCTAAAGGAAGTCAACCCTGAATATTCATTGGAAGGACTGATGCTGAAGCTGAAGCTCCAATACTTTGGCCACCTGATGTGAAGAACTGACTCATTAGAAAAGACCCTGATGCTGGGAAAGATTGAAGGCGGGAGGAGAAGGGGATGACAAAGGATGAGATGGTTGGATGGCATCAGCAATTTGATGGACATGAGTTTGGGTAAACTCTGGCAGTTGGTGATGGACAGGTAGGCCTGGCGTGCTGCATTCCACGGGGTCGCAAAGAGTCAGACATGCCTGAGAGACTGAACAACAACAATTAAACAGATGGTTACTGGAAAGATACACCTTATGGGACTTCCCTGGTGGTCCAGTGGCTAAGACTCCAGGATCCCAATGCAGGGGCCTGGGTTGCATCCCTGGTCAGGGGACAAGATCCCACACACTGCAACTAACATCCTGGTGCAGCCAAGTAGATAAATAGATTAAAATATTTTTTAAAAGATACAGCTTATACTTACGTTCATCTTCTCATTGCACTGAAAATAGGTTTACCATGTTAATACACAAATTGCATAGTCATAATATTAATGGTTCAGTTACACATACTATATAAAGCAAAGAGAAATGAAAGTGTTAGTCGCACTGTCGTGTCCAACTCTTTGTGACCCCATGGACTGTATCCCGCCAGCCTCCTCTGTCCATGGGATTTTTGCAGGCGAGAATACTGGAGTGAGCCTTTCCCTTTCTTCAGAGAATCTTTTCGACCCAGGGATCAAACCCAGGTCTCCTGCATTGCAGGCAGCTTCTTTACCATCTGAGCCACCAGGGAAGCCCTATAAAGCAAATGCTGATGTTAATTAACATAAAGCAAATGCTGATACTAATTTTAAATTGCAGGAAAGCAAAATTGCCCCAACACTGAAGGTGAAGATGCACGTGTCTTTGTTCCAGGACCGATGGACACGAGGCGCATGCGCGGGAGGCCGAGTTCCGTTTCGAGTCACCCTTTCGGGAGGGTCGGGAGGTGCGGCTTCCCTCCAGGGCGGAGAGCCGCTGCCCCAGCTTCCGGCTCTGGCTGGGCGAGGGGCTTCTGCCCCTGCGGGCCCCTTCCCGCTGTGGTGGGGGCGCTGGGGGGGCGGAGAGCGGCAGGGAGAAGAAGCCCTCCCGGGCTTTGCAAGCGCAGCAAGGAGCCGCTCTAAACGCGTCTCTCCATTGACATGCCTGAGGAAGCCTCGAGCGCGCTCTTTCGCTCAGGGTGGACCCTGGGGCCCCCTCGCGGGCCGCCCGGGGCCAGGGAGGGCAGCTGGAGCCCAGAGCGGGCAGAGCGGTCTCTCCTCTCGCAGTGCGGAGACCAGGGGGGCCATGGGTGGATGGTACACAGGCGCAGAAACGGTCATTGCGGGCACCGGACACGTCCACGTCGGGGGAGAGGCCTGCAGGCCGGGAGGACTCAACCGGGGAAGACGGGGTGAGAGTCCAGGTTGGGGGGGGGGTCGTGCCAAGCCCGGGGCCCGGGAGACGCAGGGCGGAGTCGGACACGGGCTTCCTCGCGCGGCCGAGAGGCGCTCTGGCTGCCCGGGCGGACCCTCGCCCATCCCTCACCCCCCGGCCGCGGAGGGTGAAAAGCAGGCAGCGGGAGATGACGGCGGTGGGCTGGGGCTCTCAGGGGAAGGGAAGAGCGGGGGGCGGTGATGGGAAGGGGTGCGGGAGATGACGGCGGTGGGCTGGGGCTCTCAGGGGAAGGGAAGAGCGGGGGGCGGTGATGGGAAGGGGTGCGGGAGATGACGGCGGTGGGCTGGGGGTCTCAGAGGAAGAGCGAGGCGGGGCGGCGATGGGAAGGGTGCAGCAGGCAGGCCGCAGCGCCGCTGTCGGCTCTCAGCGTCGCTCTCCGTGGACACTCCGGCACCGCCTGACGCGGTCCCCATGCAGCCGGCAGGGGGTCGCGTGGTGGCCCCGTTCCCGCTGCTGCTGTCTCCTCGGCCCAGGGCGCTGGTTCAAGGCGACAGGGGACCGGAGGGGACCTGCACCCCCAGCAAAGATGCACTGAGAGTGCGTCTCTGTGGGTGTCCCAGGAGCCCGTCCACTGACTCCGGCGAGCACCTGGGGAGGGCCTCCCGTGCTTCCAGGCCAGGCACCCAGACCACCGGAGTGACCCTCTGACCTCCGTAAGGGGCAGGTTTGGGAGCCGCTGTGTTCGGGCCGCCCCTCCCAGAGGGCCTGCGTGTCCCTGCCCCCGGGACAGCTCACCCGCGTGTCCCTGCCCCCGGGACAGCTCTCCCGCGTGTCCCTGCCCCCGGGACAGCTCACCCCCGTGTCCCTGCCCCCGGGACAGCTCTCCCCACCATCATCACCACCAGCACTACAAGGAGGGGCTCCGTGCCTTGGGATTAAAAGTCTGCCGGGGACTCCTGTTCTTCCAGTTCGTCTTTAAACTCAAAGAGGAGACAGAAGGGACACAGGATGGCATCCTTCCTATCCTGGGAAGAGTGGGAACAGGGTCAATCACAGCTGCCAGCAGATAACTGCACCCTGTTTCCTACATCCGGGTCTCAGAGCTCTCTCTTGCAAAACATTTGTGACTTCAACTCATTTCGCATGCCAGTTGCCAGAACCTTGCAGAAGTGTGTGAAGAGGAGTTGCAAAATACTTGGAGATTCACCGTGAGCCAGCAAGTCTGCAAATAATGAAAAATGATGAAAAATGAAAATAATAATACTTCTTTGAGTACGGGTGCACTTTGAGTTAAGTATGATTCTCGTGAGACCAGAGGTTCACCTAGAGGCTCCAGCTAAGAGCAGAGTTGCCATGTGCCCAGGGTGGGGTTAATCTGGAATCCTGGAGAGCATAAACTTGGTGAAGGCATTAGTGACATTAAAGAGCTGCTCAGTTTCCGCGGGGCGTGTGGGCACGCGTCACCCCGATGGCTCCCAGCCCCAGATGGAAGACGCAGGGGAAAGGGTGTCGAGAGCCATCACAGAGGTGGTTGAACTGAAGACCGTGAGGAAAGAAAGGGGCAGAGGAAGCTAGAGTTGGGATCCTCGTCTCCCCCCGACCCCTCTGCTCCCCAGGACGGTGCCGGGACCCAGTCACACAAGAAGCCGGGGTAGAGGGGGCCATGGAGGACAGTGGTCCCAACCCTGGTGTCGCATTTGTAACAGTTTGGGGAGTTCCGTGGCCTCCTGATGACCCAGCCACACTCCAGACCAAACGGACCAGCACCTCGGCCGCGGTCCCGCACCAGGATTTGTGAAGTCCGCTGGGCGTCCAGCACCGCCGGGGCTGAGAACAAGCTCAGCGACCTTGCAGGGACTTGTTCCTCCAGCGGTCAGTGTCTGGGGGCTTCTGCAGCCTGGAAGCTGCTGCGGTCCCTCGAGTCTTCATCCCAGCCTGCCTGTGGCCTGTCGGTGTCCACCCTCTCCTCGCCGCACTGTCCTCTCCACATGTCCCCACATCTGAGGACCCTGGGGTATCATGACACGTCAGTTCTCATTCCAGACTCTGCCCTACTTCTCCCCTGCCCTGCCCGCCGCCTCGTGGTCATGCTCCATCCTGGGATGACCTTCACTGGGGGAGCCAAGCCGTCCTTCACCAGATGCAAGACTGGGGTTCTTTGTGCCTTGTGGCACAGCCAAGCCCAGTTACAGAGGTGAACATGGGCCATGAAGCCTTGAGGCCAAAAGGAAAGCAGTCACAAGGAGACCCTGACGTCTGACCATCATCTCCTCCACTCTGAGCCCGCAGGGGCCAGCTGCTGACTGCGATCATCCCACTCTGGGCCTGCTGTCCAGGCCTGGAGCCCCAGCACCCCAGAAAAGAACTTGATCTTCTCTGTTCTCCCTCCTGAGTCCTACGCTGTCTCCCTGTCTCTGGCCTAAAGCAGAGGAAACAGGTCCCTGATAAACCCTCTCCCAGGACCGAGCCAGTCTTTGCTGTTATCTGACACAGGGTCACCGTCTCAGGCTGAGGCCCTAGCTTCAGGAACATTTCAGGGCCCTGAGTTCCCCAAGGAAGAAGCAGGTGCTTGCTTACAGAGGGGATTAAAGCCCCCTCCAGAAAGGCCCTTCAGGAGAGACACGAGTCTTCCATGGGGCAGGCTCTGGCTTGGCAGGGGCTGACCGCACCCTCCCGCCCCCGCCCGGGGTCCTTGCTGGCAGCATCCACACCAGGGGCATCTCAGCACAGAGCACCGTCCATCAGGTTTAGGGAGGACATGCCCACAGGGAGCAGGGACCCAGCCGCGGACGCCTCCTTGCCACGCAGCCCAGGGGGCAGCTGTGACGGCGCCTCCTCCCTGCTCTTCTCTGTCCACGTGCCCACCCACGAGGGGTCCTCCCCATCCCTGGATTCACCTCACACTCCAAGTGGGCCCATTTGAGTCCAGGGCCCAAGACGCGGGCAGGGAGACGCCTGCTTCCGAAGGCCTGGGGAGACCCCGCGGGGAGCCCTGCACGAGGGAGTGGATTCACGCGGTCCCTGCTTTGACCTCCGGGACACGGAAGAGTCCAGGCCAAGTCCCACGGCGGCCGGTTTGCTGCGCAGAAGGGGCGTGATGTGACCACAGAGCCTCTGCCCCGCTGAGTGTGCAAGCTGCTCCGGAGCAGATTCTTCTCTGCTGATGGGCCTGCTCCTCGCGCACCTGACTCTCCTTCCCAGGCTCCGGAGAACCTCCTCCTCCTGCCGCTGGAGGCTCGGGAGGGAAGACGCCAGGCCCCCTCCTGGGTTGTGGAGGGGTCCTGCTCGTCCTGCTGCACGGTCCCCTGCTCCTGGATCCAGCCAGACCTGCGTGCGCCCCCAGGCTCGTATCTAACAGGGGCTTGGAGCTCCTGCTTCAGGGCCCAGCTCCCAAGACCTGGGATCCCAGGGCCCAGGACCACACCAGGACCACCTCTGGAAGTCATTCCCCAGATGTGACTGTATTTCAAGTGTCCACTGTTTTTCCCGTGTACTTTTTAGCTCTGTTGTTTCCAGGGAAGTGCCGAGTTGTCTCCTTGTGCGGTTTCCGATTGATGTGATTATAAACCACACCGCAGCGGACACCCTCCTTCCTGTGGTGACGGGCTGCCCCTCCCCCCGGTGAGGGCCTTGAACATGTCTTCTGTGTCCCTCTGACTCAGTGGTCGCCTCGTGAAGGAGACAGGGCACTGGGGGTCTGGGAGACCCTCTCCCTGGCCCCCTGTGCCCTGGACACTGGTCTGACTGACCAGCTCTGCCGGCCCTGGGCTCTCAGCCACGTGAGCCGTGCAGACTCAGAGCCCAAGAGAACCAGGGGCTGTCCGCCCCGACTACCGACCCTCCCGCTGGTCTGAGTCCAGCGCGGGGCTGTCCGCCCAACACTGGACAGTTTTCATGGAAGCCAGACTGCTTTCAACACCACCAAGTACCTTAAACAAAGCCTGATTTCACATGCCAGAACTATGTTCGACAAACAAAACATATTTTTATTACATAAATAGAGAGCGTGTTCCAGAAAGTGTCAGGCCTGTCATCACCAACACCTGGATCCCATTTCCAATATTGGCTAAAATTTGAACCATCAACTTTGAGAATGAAAAAAAGCTTTATTTATTTATTTTTTTTACCCTGGAGAGTGGGGGTGGTTCTTGATCGTCCTCAAAGAATGTCTTTTAACACTACACACATTTAGAAACTTGTTTTTAAATCCTGGATCTTGAACAATAAAGAGCTTTTTGAAAGCATATGAGGACCCAAGGACCTCTCTCTCCACCCGCCCCACTCTCCGTGTATATATATATAACTATATATATATATATAATTTGCTATTAAAATATGGTATTGATATGTGTATGATTCCCAGGAGGCTCAGTGGTAAAGAACCCACCTGCCAATGTAGGAGACACAGGAGACGCGGGTTCGATCCCTGGGTCGGGAAGATCCCCTGGAGAAGGAAATGGCAACCCACTCCAGTATTCTTGCCTAGAGAATCCCATGGACAGAGGAGCCTGGTGGGCTACATACAGTCTGTGGGGTCGCAAAGAGTCGGAAATGGCAAATCAACTGAACACACACAATGATTTGTGCACATTTTACATATAAAATGTGCATATATGAGCATACTGGCCCTTTTCAAGTGGGGAATATGAACTGGTAGCCTTGGCTTTCTGATTGGAAATGGCTGCGATTTTCTTAAACGACCCTGGAGATGCAGGGACGGCTGTGAGGTGGACATAGTCCTCCCCAGGCTCGAGGATGGGAGTGTGCTGGTATCACCAGCCCACCAGAGGAGGCTCAGACAGAGGCTTCCCTTTGTTAATAGAAAAGGGAACTAAGGACTCCTGACACGTCTCATCCTCCCAGGCACCAAGAATAGAAATGAGGCCCCTCAGGCCAGCTCTCGGGAGCCGAGCCCTGAGCCAGGAGCTACAGCCCGTGTTAGATATGAGCCGTGGGGCGCACGCAGGTCTGGCTGGATCCAGGAGAAGGAGACGTGCGCAGGACCAGTCGTCAGGGATCGAGCAACCTCCCTCGCAGGACACACGGTGTCTCTGCCCAGGAACCACCGAGATATTGATGCGTGCAGGACGCTGGACTTGGTGGAGCCCACGCCTGGCTCCCCGCGGGGTCTTCACACACCCTGGTCTGAGGCCACGCCCGGCTGCGTGAGTAGCATCTCCAGGCGCAGAGCATCGATCTCCTGTTCGCAAACCATGTGACAGCCGGGCCCGGGGCCCCAGGGGAAGCCCCGGCTTAACAGCACCTTATAAATCAGCCGCCGCCTCCTCTCCCCAGGACCTTGATGAAGCGCCAGGACCAGATGTCCAGGCCTCAGGAAGACAGCCCTGGAGGGCCACTGCCGGCTGGGGAAGGCGGGGGGATGTGAATGACCTTGTCTGTGAGTGTGTGTCCATGTGAGTGTGCGTCTATGGGAGTGTGATTGTGAGTGTCCATGTGAGTGTGCGTCTATGGGAGTGTGGGGGCATTATGTGAGTGCATATGGGTCTACAGGTGTGTGTCTACACGCATTCTCCCCCACACACACATTCCACTACATTTTCAAAAGAAATCAATGAGAAAATAAAACTTTAAGGGAAAGAACGTTATATTTATGCAGCAGGATATAAGTGAGGTCTCTGTTTTACAGTTTATGGTGGGACGTATATAAACTTTTACATATAAAATCAAATCAAAAAGAAATCAGCAAACCCCAAAATTAAAAACAAGTGAAACTGATCATATAGCCAGTTGGTGTCATAAACACGGAAAAAACTCTATTGGTAACTTTAGTTCTTTTAGCAACTATATCGAGAAAGAATTGATATATATTAAGCTGCACTCACACAACTGGATGAATTTTGACCTATGGACTCACCCATGAAGCCACCATTACAGGTAAGATGCTGACCATGCTCCCTCAAACGTCTCTCCCGCAGGAGTTCTGGAGAAGGGCCAGAAAGCACCTGGGAGGAACCCAGGGCCAGGAACGCACCCAGGCTCAGATCGCCGCCAGATCCGCGGGCATCTGACCGGACTGAAGGCGGCGGCCGTGCCGAGGTTGAAGGGGGCGCGTCAGGGGGGCGTCCCATCCCCCGGGAGTGGGACGGAGTGGGGCTGGGGGGTTGTCGAGGGGGAGGGGCAGGAGGGGCAGAGGATGGCCCCCCAGAAGCTTCCAGAGCCTGGTTCTTTGAGTGACGGCCTGAGACCAGTGAAGGGTGGGCGCTGACCTACCCTGGTGTCCTCTGGAGGGGACAAGGTCCCGGCACCTTCAAGACATGCTCTGCTTACTGAAGACCCAGGACGAGGCGCCGGAACCAGCTGAGCCACCGTGCCTCCTCCTGGGCCCCGCTCTCCAGAGACGGTGCCCCATTAGAGCCGAGGAGGGCGAGACAGAAGGAGCCCGTGGCGGCGTGTGCGGGGTGAGTGACCCCGGGCACTGCACCGGGCGTGCGCTAACACGGACACTGCTCAGAGCGTCTCTCTGGAGCAGACACCCGTGGCCCCCACTGCACTCAGAGCTCCGCTGCGCTGTCCGGAGCTGGGGCGAGGCTGCTGTCAAAGCCTGACTCTGGAGCCCAGCCCGAGCCTCTACCTGCAGGAAGGAAGGATGGAGCCCGGGGTCCTGGGGAGACACCGGGCCGGCCAGGAGGGGGAGGAAGGACTCTGGCAGGTGCAGGCAGCAGACGGCAGCCCGCACTCACCACCCGGAGGACGGGCCGACTGCCTTCAGCTGTGAACCTCAGCAGCTTGGAGTTTGCCGGGAGGCGGGTTTGGAGCCGGGTTTGCAGAAGGAAGTGGGGGCTCTTCCGCGGAGTCCGGCAGTCCCCCGCGTGCCCACCAGGGGGCGCCCTGCCCACACAGAGGGGAGCTCGCCTGGCGGGGCGAGGCTCGTCCCCAGAAGTGCTCCCGGAAATCAAGGCTCAGCCTCGCGTCTCAGACCCATCTCCAGGCGCTTGCAGTTTCAAAGCGAGCCTGTCAGGGAGGCAGCGTGGGGGGCTTGCCCCTAGGTCTGTGGTCTTCCCGTCCCCCTCCATCAGAAGACAGCAGGAGCATCCTTGCCGAGGGGAGGACGCGTCCCGGGCACCAGCTCCTACCGCTGGGGGAGCCGGGGTGAGAGTCCTGGGCTGCCTCCGCGCCCGCTCAGGCCCCGCACTGAAGCCCGGTGTGCCAGACAGAGTGTCAGCACACAGTCTGACCTCAGCTGTCGGCCCGCAGGAGGGGAGACGTTGAAAACTCCCAGGGCTCCCCTGGGCGGGAGACCGGCCGCCTTCCTTCTGCGTCCCTGCTCGTCCTAATGGAGACGTCAGCAACCTGCCTGGGGAAGTGGCCCGAGGACTCCCTGCAAAGGCCTCGGAAATGTTTGTGTCCTCTTACCTACTAGGTCCACTTTGAATCTAGCCCAAGAAAAAAGCCCCAAATGTGGAAAATCACACCTAATAATGTTCATCAAAGTGCCTTTTCAACAGAAGTAGCTAAATAATCCCTTGCATGCACGCTAAGTTGCTTCAGTCATGTCCGACTCTTACGACCCTTGGACCATAGCCTGCCAGACTTCCCTGTCCGTGGGATTCTCCAGGCGGGAACACTGGAGTGGGGTGCCATGCCCTCCTCCAGGGGATCTTCCCGGCCCTGGGATTGAACCTGCGCCTCTTATGTCTCCTGCGTAAGCAGGGGGTTCCTTACCACTCGCACCACCTGGGAAGCCCAAATAACCCTTTTAGAAGCCTTGAAAAAGGGGTAAGCCTCATCCAGCCACATAATGGAATAATGTGCAGACATAAAGGTACAGTTCTTTATTACATGGAACTTCCCTGATAGCTCAGCTGGTAAAGAATCCACCTCCAATGTGGGAGACCTGGGTTTGATCTCTGGGTTGGGAAGATCCCCTGGAGAAGGGAAAGGCTATCCACTGCAGTATTCTGGCCTAGGACTGTATAGTCTATGGGGTCTCAAAGAGTTGGACACGACTGATCGACTTTCATTTTCAGAATGTCTCAGGTTGTATTTGCAGCTATGACAAATACCTGGTGTATTTTAGGATAGATAGGAGGATAGAAGAAATTAAACCAAGATACTAGTGCATTCATGTTCCACTAATGAAAATCTAACTCTTATCTTCTGAGCTTCCTAAATTTGATGTGACATGTGATTTTATTTCATGATAAAAAAAATTATAGAATTCATTTTTAAAACAGAAAGCCAAAATCTACCAAGACCACTTTTGCACCTCCGACTTGGCTTGAGAAAAAGCCCTTACCAGAGGTGGCAATGTGCAGCCTGACAGCCGTGGCTAGTGACAGGGTGGGGGTCTCAACCCTCAGTCCCGGGATGAGCGTGGAGCCATCACTTTTCAGCAGAGGGATCTTGGGAAAATTACCTGATCTTTCTCTGCATCACTTTCTCCATCTGTCAAATAAGGGTGAAAACATCCCAGGACTTGCAGGGTTTTTGTCAGAATTCAAGTGAAACCACTGATGTTATAAAACATAATTACAGTTAAGGGGTATCACAGCAGTAATGTGAGTGTGTTCTCCGCTCTGGGGACACATATTAACTCATTTGTCACCAGAAGTCTGTCTCATCAAACACTCAGAACATCAGCTCCTGTGCTGGGAGCTTAGGGTGTGAAGGTGCATCGTCCTTCCTAAGAAACTTTACCACTGGGAACAACGCCAAGCAGAACCGGCAACTCTGGACAATCCAGGAGGTTTTCTCTGGGAAGACACATGGGTCCAGACGGTCAGATCATCAGCATCAATTCTAGAGGCACTGATCATATCATCGCTATTCTTGGCTCGTTTCTCTATTTTTAAATGTAGGATTTTAAAAACTAATTCTTTGACTTTTCAGTAACCATCATTGTTTAATTAGAAAAGGAAACACTTTCCCCCTTGAAGAGAAAGAAAATCTCTGGAATTCTGTTTTATTTGTTTACACACACTGAGTAACAAGAGACACAGCAAAACTCTGCACGTGCAAGTGAATGCAGGAGGGGGACACTAAGCTCTGAGGCCCCCGTCACAGTCGCCTTCTCTGCCCTTGGTCCACAATTGGCTGATGGGCTCCCAGACGCCTGGGGGTCCCTTCTTGCCCCCTACTCTTTGTTCATTTCAAACACATTGAGAAACTGCACTTGGTGTTCTGTCTGGACACGAGGCATTCAGCTCAGACCACCACCAGGCAGCAGAAGGGAGCCAGACTCGCAAGGCCTTTTAAATCAGAGGCACGAGGTTTACGGCCACACTGAGGACACGTGCGTGACCTGTCTGGTGGCACCAGGAGCTTCCTGATTGGCTGGAGGAGTCCCTGGAGAACGCCTTCCCATCCATTCCTAGGACCACACTGCTCCATCTGAAAGTGCGTTAACCCCCAGGGGCTTCCCTGGTGGATAACATGGTCAAGAATCTGCCTGCAATGCAGGAGACCTGGGTTTGAGCCCTGGGTCGGGAAGATCCCCTGGAGGAGGACATGGCAACCCGCTCCAGCATTCTTGCCGGGAGAATCCCGTGAACAGAGGAGCCTGGTGGGCTGCCGTCCACGGGGTCACAAAGAGTTGGACACAACCAAGCAACTAACACTTTCCCTTTCAGCCGCTTCTTAAGAAGCCCAGCTGCCCATGATAGTCAACAGAGTCTCGTTTTACACGTCTTTGTCACAGGCAAGCCACGTCAGTTTGATCAGTGAGAAAATGGAGGCACCTACATCCCAGGTGAAGGAAAGAGAATCCAGCACTTCTGTGCGTTTTCAGTGTAAGAAAAGCAGCTGGTCCTCGGCACGGGGAAGGGGCTTAGGGGGCCCTGGACACCCGGTGTTCCTCCTTCAACCTTGCTGCCCACGTCTCCAGGGGAAGAATCGATGCTGCCGACCCGAGGGGTCCGGTCAGATCGGAGCCCAGCCCAGCTTCACCCCAGGAAACAGTGTTATGGGATCATCACCCACCACCTGAACGCAGTGAGGTTTCTCCCCTGGCAAGTGGTGCAGGATGGAAACCAGAGGAGCTGTTCTCCACCCTGGTGAGTTGGCAGGGAAAGGGGGGCGGGTAGGGATGGGACCCTTTCTCGCTGCCCCGTGGCCAGGAGAGACCAAACCGATCAGAGCAACGAGCTCCAGCATCTGCTCTGTGACAGCCAGGGGGCTGCAGTGCTGAGCCCCCCGTTACGGCATTTCACTAGGGTTTGCACAGACAGCAAAGAATTCACCTGAAATGCAGGAGACCTGGGTTCAATCCCTGGGTCAGGAAGATCCCCTAGAGAAGGAAATAGCAACCCACTCCAGTATTCTTGCCTGGCCCACTCCAATATTCTTGCCTGGAAAGTCCCATGGACAGAGGAGCCTGGCGGTCTACAGTCCATGATGTCACAAACAGTCAGACACAACTGAACAACTAACACTGTCACTTTGCAACCAAACACAATGAATTTTTAGAGCAATTTGTCACTGATTAGATTTACTTATAAGCAAGAACTCCCGTGGGTGGACTTAACTGTGCCCTTGACCCTCTAGAGCCCCAGGAGCTGAGTGCTGGGGGCCCTGCCCCTCCCTGACCTCAGCTCCCACCCCGGGGTCCGCAGCCAGCCCACACCGGTGTCTGTTCAGCCTCTGAGCCCCAGAGTGGTTTTTTCATCTTAAAGGGGCTGAAAACAATCAAAAGAGAACATTTTATGACATGTGAAAAGCAGATGAAATTCAAATGTCTGAGTGCATAAATCAAGTTTTTAGTTTCATCAGTAAGAACTGGTGGAAATCCGCTTTCTCTCCAGTCATCCCAGCACTGACAGATGCGTGATTTGTGTCTTGTCCACGAAGCCTAGGACACTGTCTCTGACCCTGGTGGACTGAATGCCCAGTCCTGTTCTAGAAGGTGAGCTTGCCCCACCCCCCAGACAGGCCACCCTCCCCTGGGATGGGCCCCTGGCCCGGGAGTCGGGTGCATCACTGTGGAGACATGTGGGCTGTTGCTATTCGGCGCTTGGCCAATAGGCCCAGGACTCCACAGGGCCATGGCTTCCTCCTGGGCCAGTTCTGGTTCCGCCCATTACCTAAGGGAGGATGAGATCGTTCTGGTTCCACCCATTACCTAAGGGAGGATGAGATAGTTCTGGTCCGCCCGTTACCTAAAGGAGGAATGAGATAGTTCTGGTTCCACCCGCTACCTAAGGGAGCTGCTCTGGGCAGGGCCCGTTTTCCTTCATGAGCGGGGTGAGCAGTGAAGGGGGCTGGCCAGGGCTGGGCGGGGACTCCAGAAAAACAAGCCAGATGGACGCGCGCAGCTGCTGTCCTGTCCCCCGGGCGAGTCCCTCCCGTCTCCAGCTCCGGACAGAAACAGGAGAGGACTTAGCACCGCCCTGGGGCCACGCTGTTTCGGTGGAATGAAGTCTGTGATAAAATCTAACCCTGACGCTGTGTTTTGTTTGTCTTATTTTCCCAGTTGTCAGGAAAAAAAAACAATAATTGTCTCAAATTGAATTCTTCTCCCATAACTTTTCCCATAAATCCTTGGCACGTGCTATCACCTGACACTGGTTGGGGTTGTTCAGCCGCTCAGTCGTATCAGACTCTTTGCGAC